GGATGGAGGTGGGCAGGGATTGGGGGATGGAGGTGGGGAGGGATGGGAGATGGAGGTGGGGAGGGATGGGCGATGGAGGTGGGGAGGGGTATGGAGGGAGGAGGGCAGACGACCATGGGAAAGAAGGGCGGAGCCCAGACAAATTAGAAATGGCTCCTGAGGTTACCTGGGATGTCGGGCCAGGTCAGGAAGAGGCTGGGGTTTGGAACCTCTGACCCGCACGGGGAGGGGCCCAGATTGTCTGGAGGGGCAAAGGCAAAGAGAGGGAGCCATCTGGCGTCTGGAGGTGGAAGAGGACAGTGTCTGCTGTCTGGGAAGTGGGGAGGGGGCGGGATGAAAGGAAGGGGAAGTGGGGGGAGGGCAAGACCTCAGGCTCGGGGTGGCTCGGCTAACGCCCTTGTTTCCAGGGCAGTAAACACACAAGCTACAGTTGATCCTTGTCCTGATTCCCCATCGCACCCCAGCCCCAACCGCCCCAGGGAGCAGCCCTCGGAATTCAGTGTGGTGGGTTTACGGTCCATCGTTATTTCATTCTTGAGGGTTGGCCAGCTCCCAGGCAGGCGGCCCTGGCAGGCTCTCGGGGTGTCCAGGGCTGGCCGAGACGGACAGGAGGTGGCTTCGGCCCGAGCCTGGGCCCCCTGGGCTGAGGAGGCCTGACGGCCGGGACCTCCCACCTCCTGTCCTGCATGCTCCCCACCTGGAGGGAGCCGAGCCCCCAAGTCTCGGAGCCACGCAGAGCTCTCTGCAGCTCAGGCTCTGGCTCCCGAAGCGCCAGCCTTGCTCCGGGTCTGGGGGGTGGTCCCGGCACCTGCGAGACCTCAGGCGGGCATCCCTGCTCATGCGGTGGCCACATGGGCTCCCGGGTCTCCAGCCAGGGGGTTGAGACCCAGTGCTGCGGCCCCTTCGCCTTTGCCTGAGCCGAAAAACAGGGGAGGAGGGAAGGCACTGGAGCGAGGTGCCACGTGGGGGAGGGAATCAGGAGGCTGGAGGGTCCCCAGCGCGCCCCGGTGGCTTCTCAAGCCCCATGCCCAGCAGTGTCACAACACTTGCTGCGTGGCGACCACTTCAGGCAGGCCCACCCTCCTGGGTCCAGGACAGTGTGACCTTGCTGCATCGGTTCCACTGGGAGGCCTTGAGGAAGTTGGGTTGATGCTTCACAAATCAGAGAATAGAAAAGGCGGGGTGGGGATGCGCTCCTGGCCAGCAGAGCCTTGGAGATGCTCAGTGTCTGCAAAGGCCCAACTACAGCCTCTTTCAATGTCCCTTCCACGCTCCCCACACCCAGACGAAAAGTTTGTCTGCACTGGAGCTTACCCAGACTGCGGCAAGTGTCCCATTGTTCTGAGGACCGACCCGGCCTCTCTCGCGCTGGGGTCAAGGGAGAGCGCCTAACTGCACAGACAGCCGGGTCTCGCTCCATCCACTCCACACGAAGAACCCTCACTCCCGCGTCCCACTCCAGAGCAGTTGCTGTGTCAGAGTGAGACAGGGAGGGCCCAGAAGGAGGAGGGCATATTCTGCAAAAAGGGGGAATCTCCGATTTTCTTTTCCTGGACTAAATAAGACTTTTTAAGTTAGTTTGTTTCTCAAAGTGCAGGAACTGGGGGCTCCAGCATCGCCGACTCTGAGCACCGGGCCCTCTTCTGCACGCCCCTCATTGACCAGAACGCTGTGCCCCCAGGGCCCTGCCCCACTCGGGCTACAGCCCCCAGGACCCTGAGGATGGGCTTGTCAAGCTCCAGGGAAAGCCAACTCGGCGTGATGTGAAAGGAACCTGAATTTCACATCCAGCTCATCCCCTGGCCTGCACTTTGCTCCGATCGATTGAATCATGGGGTTGGTGCGTGTGCACAGCCTTGCCCACTCGCCGCTGCCCCCAGGCACAATGGGCCTCCGCCCACCACGCAGGCACCAGCACCAGCTCCCTCCTCTGAGCTGGGGTGCAGCCCCCAGACCCGCTTGGGCCCAGCCAGCCTGATCGTCCCCTCAGCTCACTCTGCACCAGCCCCTGAGCACGCCTCCATTCCCCTTCCAGAGAGTTAAAAATAATGCATTAATTGAAACACAATAAAGGAGCAGTATTTTCAAGTTTTTCTAAGGTGCTTAAAGCACTTCAAATAGCACTACGTTACTTACAGTCCCGGCCCGGCGTGGCAACTGGAATATTCGGGAGGGGGCACAGGCCCCTCTTTCTTTCAACTGCAGGGAGCCCTGGCCTGCATGATAAAGTCTCTGGGAAAATATTTAGATAAGACCTGGGCAGCTTTGCCCCTCAAACATTTGAGAGACTATTTGTTTGGTGATGGAAGCTTGGCCGGGGGTGGGGGGGGGTGGCGGTGGGTCTAGATTGTCCTTTAAAAACTTAAGTTGGTTTTAACTGAAGCATCTACCATTCTGGAGAAAGTGAAGGGGGAACGGGAGGTGTGCCCCGGGCAGGGGGTAGCTGACGTTATCCGGAGCAACGTGCCTCCTCTCTCCCTCTCACCTTTGTCTCAGTAAAGATGTTTTTCTCTTTTAACTAGAAGTCTTCAGGTAAAAATAAAGCAGCCACAGAAAAAAAAAATTAGTCTTTTTTAGGGTTAAACATCAGAAGACAAGCCTGTGCTGCTTTGGCCAATCAGATACGCCCCTGCCAGCTATAATATAGTACTGAAGACAGCCTCTCGCACAAGCTCTCAGGCTTGCTACCATTTAAAATCAGACTCTTTTTGTCTTTTGATTGCTGTCTTGAGCCCCAACTCCGATGTGTTCCGTTATCAGCGGCCAGCAGCCTGCCGTTCCAGCCCCCGTCTGGGTGGGGATCGGTGGCGAGTCCCCCGCAGCGGCGGCGGGCAAGGTTATATAGGAAGAGAAAGAGCGAGAGGCAGAGAGCGAGGGCGCCAGCAGCCAGCCGGAGCGAGCGAGGGAGGGAGAGCGCACGGGCACACACACTCGCACACTCGCACACCCGCACCCTCGCGCACTCAGACCTGCTCCGGCCAGCCTTGAGGTCCCCGGGCTCCATGGACGAGATGCTACTGCTGGCGAGATGTCTGCTGGTGGTGCTGGTCTCCTCGCTGCTGATGTGCTCGGGGCTGGCGTGCGGACCCGGCCGGGGATTTGGGAAGAGGCGGAACCCAAAAAAACTGACCCCTTTAGCCTACAAGCAGTTCATCCCCAACGTGGCTGAGAAGACCCTAGGGGCCAGTGGAAGATATGAAGGGAAGATCACCAGAAACTCGGAGCGATTTAAGGAACTCACCCCCAATTACAACCCTGACATCATATTTAAGGATGAAGAAAACACTGGAGCGGACCGGCTGATGACTCAGGTAGAAACCCAGCACGGGGCGTGGAATGTGTTGCTTCCAAGGGGTTATGTGTAACCATGCCGTTCAGTCTGTTTGCTCTTCAGGCAGGTAGAAAGCCGATTTTGTCCTCTCCTTCCCCACCCACCTGCCGGCCTACCACCCCTTCCTCTTCCTGGAGGGGAATGGAGGTGAAGGGTCCAGCCGGAGAAGTTTAGGCTGGAGGGTGGGCATAAGGACGCTAGGAGATGTGGTCCTTGCATGGCCCTGATTTGATCTGTCCTGCTGGGATGGCCTTCCCATCCTGCCTCAGCTCTGGCTTGTAACTTGGGGAGACCTTCACTTTGGGGGCATCTGTCCTTTCCAAGTTGGGAGTGGGAATGGAGGGAGGGGGCAAGCATCCCCCCCCATAAACATAGAGTGGCGTCCAGATCACTGTACAAGTGTAGCCTCGGCGCTTACACGTTTCCCTTCTCCTCTGTGTTTTTCTTTCCCACCACTGCTACCCCCCCCCGCTGCCCCCCACCAAAGACCCTCAGCTGGAAAAGCCAGGAGGCCGGGCTGACAAAAGGTCGGGGCTCCAGAGGCGGCTGGGCTAGTCCCTGACCGTATCACATAGCTCCACTGCGATTCCATCGCTGGCACTTGTGCCCATCAGAGTGTGAATGTATCGATATTTCTTTAAGGATGCCCTCTTATTCTCCCGAGCCCGCGGTACTTGAGGGGAGGGACTTAGAACTTACTGGCATTGCATCACGCTAGTTTTCAACCTGCTTGCATAGGAAATTAGGAGCGACTAGATATTAGCGGGAGGGGGGCTGGAAAGAAGAACCAAAGCAAAGCACGCATTCCTCTCTCCCTCTCCGCCTCCGTTTGAGACTTCTGGCTGCCAATCTGCCCGTCAATGGCAGACTTTCTGCAACTCCAGGCACGTATAACTGAACCTAGAAATGGCTTTCCTGGCAAATATAGGTCAACATCTTTTTTATTGCCCTATTAAAATATTCAAGTCCTACCTTTAGGGCCAGGAGCGCACCGCAGCTGACGGAGCGGCGCTGGCGGGGCGCAAGTGCAGGGGAGGCTGGGGGTGGGAGGGACCGAGGAGACACCTCCCGGCCGCTCCGCTCCCCAGCCCGATGCCCGGCCTTGCTGCGGAGCCGAGGAAGGCCAGGGGCATGCGGGGTAGCGGGCTCCAGCTGACGGACGGAGGCGGAGAGGGAGGGGAGGAGAGGGTCCTCGTCCCCGGCTCGCTCGCATCTGCTCCCGACCACCTTAAATCTGGACCGCGAGTGTGGACGCGCGCGCCTGTGCCCGAGAGCAGCGCGAGCCGCAATTAACTCTGCGCAGGCCGGGGGGTGCCCTGCGCGTGCGGCCGGCTGCGGGCGCTTCTCTAGCTCGTCTGGGGCTCCGACCCCCTGGTCACCCTCGGTCCCGGCGGGAGGGCAGGGGCCTTCCCGGGATCCCTCGGCACCGGGGAGAGGGGCGCGAGGCCAGAGAAAGCGGCGGGGGCGGGGACGCCGCAGGTCCCCGAGCCGGAGGGCTCAGCGGCCGCCGCGGTCCGCGCCGGGCCGACGCGGGAGGGAGCGGGTCCCGGCCCGCGCCCTGCCCGGGGCCCCGGGCCTCGCCGCCCCGCCTACAAGTGCGAGCGCGCGGAGCCGCGCACCCGGGCAGACGCATCTCGGCTCCACTTACTCCCGGGTTATCGATCTCGCGGCTCGGGTTTCAGTGCGCGCGGGGCTGGGCTGCGGCCGCCCGCCGGCCCCTCCACGCGCCCGAGCGCGGGCTCGGCCAGGGCTCCCGGCGGCGCTCCGACGGCCCGGCTGCCGAGGCGGCGCGGGCGGGCCCGGCGGGCCCGGGCGGTAGGGAGAAGCCGGTTCCAGGGCGGAGGCGCCTCGCGGCCATGGGCGCCCGGCCCGAGCCCCCCGCCGGGTCCCTCGCCCCGCCGCCCCCGGCCGCCCCGCCGGGACCTACAGCCGCGCGGTCCGGCGCCCGGCCTCTCTGGCCGCAGCGTGCGCTGGCAGCCTTTGAACTTCTGACCTTCTGTCAACTTCCCTCAGACGAACGAAACGAAAACAAATACTTTTTTCCCTGGGCAGTGGCTATTCCCGTTCCCAGCACAAAAGGAGGGGGGAGGGGCAGCCGACGTCGGAGTGGGGTGGGGAGAGCCAGGCCAGGCGTGTACCACGGGCCCCAAAAACGTGCCCTAAAATCCTGGAGGCTGGGAAGAGGGGGTGGCCTGAAAGGCGCCCCCTGCTTTACCCCTTCCCCGTCCTTCCTGCGTCCCCGGTCCTAAGAGTTAAAGTGGGGAAGGCGGGGGACCTGGGAGGTGAGGGCAGGGCCGGGGGAAGGGGAAGCGGCAACGCCTCCCGGGCTCCTGGGGCACCTGCTTTCCCCCCCCCCCCGTCCCCCACTTAAGATAACCACCTAGACTCTGCTCTCGGGTGCGTGTCCCTCCTCCCCCGTCTCTGCGTGTCTCTGTCTCCCTAATGTGACTGCCGCCCAAGTCCCTCAACCATGGCAAGATCGTCCCCAGTGGAACTTTCAGAGCAGTTCAGGAACGCATGAGCCCCTGGTTAATATTAACTCCGAGAGGGGGAAGCGCAGACAGACACGCTCTCACCGCAGGCCGCGGTGCCGAGGGGCTCCGAGGGGGCAGGAGGCCGCGAGGGGCCGGCCTGCGGGCTGCGCTGGGGACCGGCCCGAGGCGCCACGTTGGGCAGATTTCCGGGTGCGTGGCGGCCCCGGGGAGCGGCGCTCAGGTGTGGGTTTGAAGGGAGGGGCCTGGTTTTCCGGAGGGGGGGAGGAGGATTGGCGAGAGGTGTGTGCGGGGACCTGAGGGGACCCTTCTGAAGTCGGGACACCCCCTCCCCCGCGCTGGGGAAGCCCGTGGGCGTCGGCGGTGACAGTCCCTGCTCGGCTCCCGGGCGCGGAGCGGCTGCGCAGACTGGGGAGGTGGCGCGGGAGCTCGGGCGTGGGGAACAACTTGGCCTCCGCCGACACAAAGCCGGGCCCGTCGGCCCCTCTGGGCTTCACGGTGGCTGCACAGAGGCGGGGTTGATACGCGGCACACGACCCAGTGAATTGATAACCGGCCCGGGCTTCCCGGCTCTGCCCGCGACGATCCCGCCCGGCCGGGGCGCAGAGACTCTTGCAGCCGCGGGCCGAGGCCGCGTTGCGCCTGGCGGAGCCCGGGCCTGCCTCGGCCCTGGGTTCCTCGCCTGGGGTCTCCACCTCTTGTCCGAGTGGCGCAGCTCAGAACGCTGGGGGATGGTACACGTGCTCCCCTTCCTGCCCTCCCCCTCGCCAGCGGCCCCGGGGGAAGCCACTGAAAGCTTCATCTGCCCCCCGAAAGCAGGGAGCTGGGCTGCGATGGGGGCTCGGGAAGCGAGTGTCTGCGTGTGCGCGTCGGTGGTGTGCGCCTGCGCAGCCGGTTCCACATCCCGGCTCTAAACTGACCCTGGTTTACTGATTGATTTTCATGTAAAACGCATTCAGTCCTCAAGATGACCTCACTCAAACTCTGTCCTTCTGAATTTTTTTTTTTTAAGAAAACTGTTGGCGGGCCTAGAAACCTGCAAGCGCTGACCTGTTACCAGGACCGCCCCCTAGCCTTCTGCCCTCCCTCCCTCCACCACGCGCGCGCGCGCGCGCACACACACACACACACACACACACTTGCTGTATGTCTAACTCTACAACCATATACTGGTTTTTACTGCTGCCAACTACACAGGTCTTTTCCTGTCGCGCAATCGGTCGCATCCCCTTAAAACGCGGCAGCGGCCTTGCAGCAGCCCTCCGCCTCCCGCGCGCTCTGTAAGAAAGAGTTCCCCCAGGCTATAATAGGGTCCTTGCTGGGGCCGGCTGGTCATCTCGGTAACCGGGGTCCCCGCCCGGATATCAGCCCTACCCTCTGCAGAAGTCAACTTGGAATTGTCCCCTATCCCTCCTGAGTCTGCCTCTCTGGGGGACGCCCCCATCATGATTTTGTCACCACCTCCCCTTTT